ATATTATATCATATGATATTATATTACATTACAATATATTATATTATATTAAATTTATAACATATGTAATACAGTTGCACCTTAATATCCTCGAAATAGTTGCATGAACCCGTCCACTATCCCTTGCAAAAATCACAGTTTTTCTTCAAGATGCAGGGTGTCCTTAAAGAAGTACAGCCTTCCCTTGAAGGGGAAGCATGTTTCTAGAACATGTAGCATGAGTTTAGCATAGTGCATTGTTGTTCCAAAATGCAATATCTTATGACATGCAACAATGAAGTATCCCCAGCTTGTGAAGAAACATGTTTCATCAAGTTAACATGTTCCTTTGAGAAAGTTCATATTGTTTCCAACAAGCAATACCCTTACAAATTATGAAGGAATCCTCTAAAAGATGCAGCATACGTTTTTGAAAAAGCGCAATCTTCTTCAAATGATATCTCTTCAAGTAGGCAATATTCCTTTGCCATATGTAGGGCGCTGTCCAATTTACAGCCACCTTTTTAATATGCGGAAATGCAATGCAAGCGCAATATTCCTTGAAAATCAAGCAAGATGAGCATGTTGCTTACACATGGCAAGTACCCCGCCAAAAGACAATGTAGTATCCTTTTCAAGAAGTCATGTTCCTGCAAAAACAACAGATAATTTCCTCCACACATGTACGTAGTATTACTGTTGAAAAGGTTCAGTTGTCCTTGTTTGTTGTTCCTTAAGAACGAGGTCTTTCTCTAAAGGAAATGATGTGAAAGAGTTGTGCGCTCTTCTTAATCAATTGGTTCCATCATTTTTGCAGAGGCTAGTCCCAAAAATATTGCCTTATGCACCAAGGGAAATCCATAATTTCAGAACGAGTGCTGCATATGTATATAAAAGGATTACATTTTGGAATAACGGTCCATTGTCTTAAGAGAATACCATACTCTTTTGACAAAAGGACCACTATATACACAAAAGAACCTTAACCTCATATTGACATTTGGAATGATATTTTAATATCTGAGGGAATCTTGCACCCTTTTCAAAGAGATGGTGCACTTTTTTGAAGGAACATATTCCAGATAGTCATAAATAAACATTCACTTCAAAGAATGCTATGATCACAAAAAAACACCATGGTATATTCAGATTTTTGTGAGTGTGAGTGTGAGTTTCTTCATTGAATGTTTGCCCCAAAAGCTTGAAATTCATTGCTCATAACAGTCCAAAGCTGGTTCATATCATCAATGTCTCGCTTTGAAGATGGCAGACGGCAGACGTAGACCTGTATGAAAGCGCATGATTGGGTGTGATTAGCCAAAGGATTTCAGAGCCAGGAATTCCAAAGTACCAACTGAAACTAGCCTGCAAACATTGGTTTAACACGGGCTGAGTTGTGTTCTATTCTTACAGGTTCCTTTTCTTGTCATTGCCTGCAGGACTATCCCCCATACTGGGCGTGGCTGCAGAGCTTTCCGCCACTCGGATTGCGATGGATCAGAATTTTAGTGTTTCAAAAAAAGCCCGAGTTCCCGCAGCTTTCCATGGTGGTGTTCCCATGGTTTCCCAGCCATGAAGATTTTGTTCACACACCATGCACAGACAAGTTTCGCCACTGAGGGTCTGGGTGGTGTCGCCACTGATGATTGTTCTGGCGGTTGTCACTTGGTCAGAAGATGATGCTTGGATACACCCCTGCAGTTCGAGGAGTTTGCCACTGTGTGCATCACTGTGTGCATGGAAGTGTGTACGCGAACGTGGTAAGTGGTACTTCAATGCACTGCGCTTCAGGGATTCAGGAATCAGCATTTCAAGAAGGACAGTGACATAGACCTCATCTTAACATCCAGGAAGGACATCGGCAGGTTCATGCTAAGATAGAGTCTGGAGAGATTCAATTACGGATGTGATGCAAAGCGAATTGCCTCCCCCTCCGCATGCATGACAACTTTCATCTCAGGTTGCTATGGCGCTGCTCTTAGCAACTGCTTTTGGCAACTTCACTCAGGGTTCGGAAATCCAGAACGCAATAGAATGTGTTTAAGTGTGCTATCAAGTTGTTATGTGTCCTTTTCCGTCCTTTCTTTTGTCCGCAAAAATTCAAACCGCGTTTTGCTCAATTGAATGAACTTGAAATAGCTGGTTAATTATAATTGAACATGAGACTTGTCATTCCTGGTGCTACATTATATAAGTGCCTTTCGCCGCCCAGATGGTCTTCCAGAATGCGGGCAGTATCGGAATCAGGCAGCAGATCAGTGTCACATAGTGTCACAGTGGGTCTGAAAATCGGGTACCCCCAATTCCAATGGATTATCATCATTGTCCATTGGATATAACCATGTGATATTATGTTATATCCAATGTTATAGCCATGTTATAGCCAATGGATTAAAATATATTAAAATTGCTATAACATGCCAAAAAAACTGGAGTATCTATGGGTATCCCCATGTATCCCCTGTTTCCAGACAAACCTGGTTGTGGTGGTAGAGTGGTGGTTTTTTTCTTGCACGACTCAAGCCAGGCCCAAGCGTTATACTATCGAGTGGATGCAGGCAAACCGTGAGCGTGAACGTCAGGATCCGCATGGCGGGATTGACCATGGCCCATCCTGGTTGCTGATTTTAAAGGTGATTTTGCTGATTGTTGCGGTTGCATGATCATGCATGATCTAATTTGCAAGAGACAACAAGCAGAGGGAGTTCTCTTATTATGTCCTGCGGCTGTGAATTATATATGTATATGTATATATATACACACATAATATATATATATACATACTAGCAGTATCGTAATTATCCTGCGAATTCATGACCCTCATTGATAATCATGGTTCATCATGTATCTAGGAGAATCTAGGGATGGCTTTCTCAGTTCATGGTGTCACCTGACACTACCGCGCAGGAGAACACAAACCCAGTCACACGCTACCTGGACCGTCGTCGCACCGAGCGTGGTGGCACATGGATTGCTGCTTGGCACCAGTGACTCCTACTGTATTTATCCTCCAAACTTATGACGGATATAAAAAGGACTGTGATTTAGTACAACTTATTGATATTTATAGTTGTATTCAGATGTATTTTGAATCTTGCTAATGTGTTTTTCCATGTGTTTTGTTTATTTGATTTACAGATCCATTTAAACAACATCACGCAACAGGAACACGTTGAACACCCTCCTGAGAGGTCACGTCAAATCGCAACTGAGGCTCAATACAACCTGCCGTTGCTTGGTTCAATCTGCGGTCTGAAAATGTTGAGAAAAGCCGATGCTTGACCAGCATTTTGCCCTGTAATAAAATCATATAAAATCGCCATTTAATGGGTCTCCAGGGCCGGGCAAACCCATAGAATTCCTTTCTGAAATGGAAGCTGATGGCCGAAAAAAACTCCAAGGATTCTGTAGGGAAGGTTGTGCCCAAGTTGGGGCTCCTTATTCACCTTTGTTAAATCGTTTAAGCAGTGGTCAGACTTCCGAATTTTCTCTGAATGCTGCCTACAAGAAGCATTGTGTATCAACTATAATATGTGTACGTACATTACATTACGTTTTGTGTCCTTGCATTACTTTACCTTACGTCGCATTACGTTACATCAAAATACATAAATTACATTGATTCCACATTATATTATATACTCTATATTTTACACATACATACTGAATATATATATATAGTATATATATATATTTGCTAATTATATATTAATATATATATATATACACATTATACATGTATCATGTATTTGTATTGAATTGTATTCAATATATTCAATATATGTATAAGTGATACATATGCAACATGTTCAGATGCCTGGCACTGCCAGCCGTGCCAGGTGGCATCCATACTGGATGTGGATGCGGGACACGCACGATCCTGACTACCCTGAGTTCTACTTGCCCAAGCCTGGCCATCCTCACTTGCACTATGAGGACCAGCATGGACCTTGTCATTATATATAAATATATATATATATTGTGAAACTTCCACAGTTTATTGTCCTGGTGAGCTTGACGGTTGGACCTCAGCTGCCATCTTGGCAGTCCTTGTTTTCCCATGGTCTTACATGTCAGGGAGGTTGTTTACCATTTGCACCTTGGCCGCAACTATTGGTTCACCTCCAGCGGTGGCAGCGGTGCGGATTGAGCCATTGGTGAGAAAAGCAGCAGAGGCGTTGCTGCTGGTGGCTGCTGTTGAAGCGAGGCTGCTTCGCATTGGCAGCGGAGCCTGCGGGCTGGCGCTGGGAAGGAAAACTTGGTTGAGAAGGGCAAGTACCTGGTGAGGCGACTGGGTAGTGAAAATAAAGGTGGAAGCGTCTTGGGAAGATGCCAGACGGGGCTGAGGGACAGCCTGGTGGAAGTGTGAGTGTGGAAGAGAAGACGAGCAACTTGTGGAGCTTGTTGCCGAGTTTCGACCCTAGTGTCGATAGCGCCAAAGAGTATGCGGACAAGGTGAAGTTTCTATGGGGCATATGCCCTGTGAAGGACAGAAGTATGTTGGCACCAAGGTTGGCTTTGCAGTGCAAAGGGACTGCATGGAGTCAGGTGAGAGCCATTGATGCGTCGAAGTTGACAGACCCTGAGACTGGTTACAAGGTACTGTTGAAAGCTTTGGAGACCTGGGAGGATGCCGAGGAACTTCAGAGACCTTTGACAAATTTGAGAAGCGTTTTACCGAGTAGTCCAAAAGACAGACGAGTCAGCAAATGTCGTTTGTCAACCGAATCAATGTTGCTTTCGAAGAAGTGGGCTCTGAAACAACCGTCCAACAAGTTCGAGCCTTCGTGATGTTGAGACAGAGTGCCTTGACTGTTGAGGACAAGAAGCGTGTGGTCTCTATGGCAGGCAACTATGATCCGTCGGCAGTGGAAAAGGCAATGAGGTCCCTGTCGACCAAAGTGCTTGGGCAGACAGATGCTGGACGCAAGAAGGTGTATCCAGCCAACTTTGTGGAAGAGGAGTTGGATGAAATTCACTATGCAGCTGAAGAAGAATGTGATGAAGAGCAAGCCTTAGCCATGCTCATCGAGGAAGGTGATGAGACAGCACTTGCCATACAAGAGTTCGAGGATCAGGTGATCCACGTTTGTCAGGATTCACCTGAACTGGCCATGGCGTTCTCCACGTACCAGGAGGCACGACAGAAGCTTCGAGACAAGTTTCGCAGCCGAGGGTTTTGGTCCCTTCGTCATGGAAAAGGGAAAGGCAAGAACAAGTCAAAGAAGGGCAAAGGCCCCAGAAAGTATCAGAGTCTTGCAGAGCGCATAGCAAGCTCTACCTGTCGCGCCTGTGGAGCAAGAGGCCACTGGAAGGATGAGTGCCCGCTGAAGGACAAGAATGTGACTGCAGATGCGAACGTGATCCTCACGGAAGAGCTCTCAGGGGGTGGTGAACTTCTTGATGAACTTCCTGGCCATGATCTTGCCAATTGGCAGGTGGGGATGTGTTCAAAATTTTGGTTGCCCACGATGGTGCCACCTGAGTACCATGTTGATAATGAAGAATTCAGTTTAATAGGTTCCCATGAAATGATTTTGCATGCGATCAACATTCCCAAAGGGAAGTCATGTTGTGAAAAGAGTTTGAAATATTTTCCCAAACTGAAAGAAATGTTTCGTCGAGCAATTGAGACAAGCTTCAGTGTCACTGGCAGGTCCCCTGAGTCAACTGAGGAAAGTAGGAATGGCAGCTTAGGTGACTCAGGCACTGGGATCATAGATACCGGTGCAAGCAAGTCCGTGATCGGCGAAAAGCGAGTGAGTGCACTTTTGACTACTTTGAAGGCAGAACACCGTGAGATGGTTAAGTGGAAGGAATCTGAAACCGTTTTTAGATTTGGTAACAATGGTGTTTTGAAGAGTGTTGGTGCGCTGTTTGTACCGTTTGGGAAACAATGGATGAAAATTGAAGTGGTTCAAGGAACCACGCCTTTCCTCATTTCAAATGCCTTTCTTCATGCACTTGGCGCAGATGTTCTGGTGAGTAAATCCTGTTTGGAAGTGTCTTCTTGGGGAAAATCCGTGACACTCACCAGAAATGCCAAGGGGCTGTTTATTGTCAAGTTGTCAGACTTGATTGATGCGGCTAGCATGAGAAGTAATTCAGAAAAGTTTGAGGAAGTCATCACTTTGGCAAGTAGTAGAATTGAAAATCGAAGTAGGGAGGTTTACTGCACACACAAGCAGCAGCAGCAGCAGCCAAACACAATGTCAAGTACATCTTCGACGACTGCTACAGCTGCGGTGGCTCAACCTCAAGTTGACCAAGAACCAGATCGGCTTCAAAGTCAGTCCGCTCTTTCTCAAGCTGACAGCCATGACTCTTCCAAGTGCCTCGGGAACGCCATTTCCGGGACTCCAGACAGAGATGCTAGATGCGATGCTGTCCGGAGAAGTGGATGCCTCTCTGGCCTTCGAAGATCGACAACTACCAGAGATCAAAAGTCGTCGCCCTCCAGGTGTGATGACCTTGAAGGAGTGGGGTCAGTTGAAGTTCCCGGAAGGGAAGTGGCGGCACAAGTCCTTCTTTCAGGCATACCAGGAGGACCCAAAGTACGGCAAGTTCATGAAGGAGCACAGGAAACTGGTGTCAGCTTGGGCACTGAGTTTTCAGGCTTACGTGGAAGCCATGGACAGGATGCAGGAAGATTGCTCGAAGGCCTTCTACCAGGAGTATGCCAGACAGTGGGCCAAAGCCGAGATGTCCAAGACGTATCCGAAGGCAGAGATCGAGAAGAGTCAAGGACCAGAGTGGGAGCTGTTGACAGGAGGGGTGACATCGCGTCCGATGAGCACGATGTCATCACCAAGTCAGAAGCGCCCCATGGAAGAAGAGCAGTCGCAGATGGCGATCGAGGTGCAGCAGAAAGAGGAGATGATCACTCGCATGGCGATCTTGCAGCGCGAGATGGACAAGATCAAGGCCGACTTGGAGGGAGTCTGAATGAGAGGTCTAGCGTAGAGCAACTCGAGACAGATCAGCAATTGACCAACCAATTGCTCAAAAAGATTGAACTAGCAATGGGAACAATTGAAGCAGAGCTGACCTGTCTTCAAAAGATATGGCCGACGCTGACCGACTCTCAGACTTTCCAGAAGTTTGGAAGTGATCTTCTGGAGATCTATTGTGAAGAACATTCTCAAATCACAGAACAAGCTTGTAAGCTGGGATTGAAGGCCAGAAGATTCACTTTCAGTGATGGAGATCTTTCTACACCAGAAGGTCAAGCTGCGCTTTGGAAAGTTTTGGAGGAAGAGCGACCGAGAGAAGTCTGGATGGCACCAGAATGCAAATATTGGGGCAACTTCAGTCGCAGAAACATGGGCAGGAGCAAAAACACAGAACAAATGATTTCAGAGGGTCGCAAGAAGCAACGTGTTCATTTGAAGCTTTGTAATGATGTTTATTGGTATCAGATGGATTGTGGTGGTCAATTTCATTTGGAGCAACCCCAAGGGTCGGAGTTGATTTATCAACCGGAAGCCTATGATATTTACTGTGGGACCCTGTGTACTGTTTTTGATATGTGTGAAGTTGGAAAACTACTTGCCCCACATGTGATGCGACGAGTGTCTGGAAACAATTTCCTTAGAAAAAGGACGCATGTCTACACTTCCTCAAAGATTTTCCATGATGCATTTGACCACCGATTGTGTCCTGGGCATCATAAGCATGCTCCAATTGCTGGCAAGATCTATCATTTGGGTCGGTGGATTTCTCTCTCGGAATATGCTGCAAGGTACACCTCCGGTTTTGGTAGGAATGTGGCAAGGTATGTTTCCTGTAGGTTTGATGAGAAGCCACTGGTTTTGGATGAGTTGCATGTTTGTGATGTTGATGAAGCTTTTGTTGCCGGAGTTGTCAAAAGAAAAAGAGTGTCCGCTGCAGCAGTTCCAGAGAGCTTAGAAGAGCCGGTTTCAGCAGAAGTGAAGCGTCCAAGGTATCACTGCAAACAGACACCAGCAGGTGACCACGGATGTGCAGCCGGTGAATATTGGGATGGCATTTTTAAGAAAATTGAAACCATGGTTCCACGGGTAGGCAAACGTGTTTTGGATGATGATGGGGTTTTAGCTCAGATTCAGAAGGGGGCCCCAAACTTGAAGGTTCAGAGGGTTGAAGCCTGTAGGGGAACTGAGAGGTTGCGCCTTCCTGGAGCTGATGCGGACCCAGAAACCATCCCGTTGAGATTGACCGTGGTCAAAGACCGCATCACGGGTCAGTCAATGGTACTTGGCCCAGCTGAGGAATGGGCTGCTCTGCCAAAAAGGCAGCAAATTCGAAAGGGTCAATCTGCAAAGATGAGCCTCACCATTTTTGGAAGTTTTCCAAAGTCAGGGGAGCTTGAGACAATGGGGTCTGATAAGGAAGCAGGTACTGGGGATGATGGTGAAGATGTTGTTGTGGTAAGTAAAGACCCTCCCAAGAATGTTCCGGTTCATGGACCAGGATACATGTTGTTGAATGGTGATGAAAAGGCTCAGATTCGGAGGTTGCATCACAACTTAGGCCATCCACATCCACAGAAGTTTGCCTGGTTTTTGAAGGAAAGGCATGCGGAACCTCATTTGGTTCAAGGAGCTCTGGATTATCAGTGCGACAGTTGTGCGGAAACAAAAGCTGGTCCAGACTCCACCCGTCCTGGCACAATTCATGAGAATCTGGGATTCAATCAAGTGATTGGTATGGACACTGCTGTTTGGACTAATAGTGTTGGTAAGAACTTTCAGTTTTCTCATATCATTGATGAAGGGACTTTGTTTCATGTTGGTTCTCATGCTGTCAGTGCGGACACAGATTCTCAAATTCGAGTCTTTGAGAAATGTTGGATGTTATGGGCGGGCACTCCTCAAGTTGTGTATGTTGACCCTGGCACGGAATATACGGCAGAAGCATGGCAGGACAGAATGCAAAGGCATGACATCCATGTCAAAGTCAGTGCAAGTGAAGCTCACTGGCAACTGGGGAGAGTGGAAATTCACGGATCAGTTGCGAAGAAATGTTGAGTCGCATGGATTTGGAGTCACCAATAAACTCGGTTGGGGAGTTTGAGCAGGCTTTGGTTCATGTGTTCAATGCCAAGAACAGTTTATCCAGAGTGAAGGGATACTCTCCCGAACACGCTGTCCTTGGAATTGCCAAAAGATTGCCTGGGTCCGTTGTCTCTAGTCAGGGGGTAGGAAGTATAACTCTGGCTGAAGGGACTGGTCCCGAGAGCGAAGCCTTTCGAGTCTGGAAAGACGCAGCAGTGCACGCAGAGCTTTCATAGAAGCTGATAATTCATCCAGTCTTCGTCGTGCGCTTTTGAGGCGGACTCGGCCAATGCGAGGACCCTTTGAAATAGGAGATCTTGTGTTGTATTGGCGTAGGAGGGGTGCCAATCTACGTAGAGATCGTGGTCGCTGGTATGGGCCAGCGAGTGTTGTTGCAGTCGAAGGGTCCAAGAATGTTTGGTTGAATCATGCTGGAAAGCTAGTGCGCACGAGCCCTGAGCAACTTCGTGCAGCCAGTTTTCGGGAGTGGAAGCAGGCCAAAGAGTTGCTCACAGAGTCTGGCCCAGGGAACTCAGATTTACAGAGAGCCCTCAATGATGGCAGTTTCATTGATGTAGATGGGGAGGATTTTCCTGACTGGGAAGCTGAAACAGAGGGATATGACCCATCAATTGGGGAGCCCGAAGGAGAGTTGTCAGTTCAGCCACCTGGGACACCTAATGGGGAGTTGAGCAATCAGTCTGAACCGCCTCAAGGAGTGGAACAGTCAGAGAATGAACTCCCTGATTACGTGCGTGTGCCGGTTCCAGAAAGTGTCAGTGAGTCCGATGGTGATGCCTCACAGGCGGGCGTCAATCTTGAACCAACGGATGACCTTCTGTTTGGAGATGACATCACCATGTCTGCAGATGATAGGTGTTGCCAGTTCTGGGAGATTGAAATTCCTGTTGAAAACCATGAAGAGCATGCACTGTTTTGCGCTGGATCAGCAGATGAAAGTGTGTTGTTGGTGACTGGAGCAAAGAAGAAACGAGTTGAAGTCCGTTTGAGTGATTTAAGCAGTGCTGACCAACAGCGCATGGCGGTGGCCAAGCACAAAGAAATAGGCGCCTGGCTCAAACATGGAACTGTGAGAAAAGCATCCAAAGGAAAAAATCCTGAGGAAGCAATCATGCGCTGCCGATGGCTGCTCACCTGGAAATCAGCCTCACCTGAGGATCACCCCAAGGATGTGAGTGAGGGTCGTAAGGCAAAGGCCCGGTTGATTGTTGTTGGATACGAGGATCCTGGAGTTGGGGTGGTTCAAAATGATTCACCCACACTCACCAAAGATGGAAGACAGATGGTGGTGCAACAGGTGAGTAGTCATGGTTGGGAACTAGTTTCCTTCGATGTCTCAACTGCCTTTCTTCAAGGCGAAGGAGACGGCCGCTTGCTTGGTTTGTATCCCACCCCAGAGTTAACAGAAGCCCTTGGGTTGGAACCTGGTGATCAGTGTCAATTGGTAGGTAGTGCGTATGGTCGTGTTGATGCTCCTTATTTGTGGTATTGTAAGTTTCGTGACTCGTTGTTGCAAGAAGGTTTTAAACAGTGTCCTTTTGATCCTTGTGTTTTTACTCTTGTTTCTGTTGATGAAAAGGGGAAAGAAAGAGTTCATGGTTCCCTAGGGGTTCATGTCGATGATGGCATTGGGGGTGGGGACAACATGTTTATGGCAGCCTTGGAAAGAGTCAGAAAGCGTTTCAGTTTTGGATCATTTGAAAAAGGGTCCTTTGTCTTCACGGGCATAAGGTTTCAGCAGTGGGATGATGGCAGTGTGGAGTATGATCAGATTGACTATATAGAGAAGATTAGGCCAATTGAAATCCCAAAACAGAGACGTACCAATGCTGAAGCTGCGCTGAGCCCGAGTGAAGTGACGCAGTTGCGAAGTCTTGTTGGAGCTCTGCAATATGCAGCAGTCCATACCCGTCCCGACATTGCGGCCAAAGTTGGAGAGATCCAAAGTAGGGTGGCAAAGGCAACAGTCGATGACATGATTTTTGCAAATCGAGTGTTGCATGAGGCAAAGGTTCACCCTGTGACTTTAATGACATTGCCGATTGCCCCTGAACAAGTGACTTTCTGTGCCTTCTCCGATGCCTCGTTCCTTTCAGGAAAAGAGAAATATGCCCATCAGGGAGGTTTGATTTTTGTCACGACTCCAGAGTTGCTGGAGAACAAGAGATCAGTGGTAGCACCAGTAGCTTGGATGAGCAAGAAAATTCAACGGGTGACTAGGAGCACCTTGGGGGCTGAAGCAGTGGCATTGAGTGGGAATGTTGATCGTTTGTTGTGGTTGAGGATTTTGTGGCAGTGGTTGAATAACCCCTCGATTGAATGGCAGTCCCCCGAGAAAGTGTTGCACGAAGCCCGACAAGCTGCTCTTGTGACCGACTGTAAGAGTGCCTATGACCTTCTGACTCGCACGGCCGTTCCACAGTGTGAGGAGCATAGGACCACCATTGAGTGTTTGCTCATCAGAGAAAGATTGCAGGCCAATTGCGTAGTGAGATGGGTTACATCAAATGCTCAGCTTGCAGATTGTTTGACAAAGAGCATGGATGCAAGCGTTTTGCGACAGTGTTTGAAGAGTGGTCGGTATTCTTTGTTTGATGAAAATCGAGTGTTGCAACAGAGATCTGACAAGCGACAGCGTTTGAAATGGGCCAAAGAAGTGACGTCCAAGTCTCCAGAAAATGAGACAGTTTTGAAATGTACAGAAGAAGTCCGGCAGGACACATGGGAACAGGACTCAAGTGGCCAGGTTATCCGCGTACATCATGTCCCAAGATATCAGTTGTTTTCTCCTGTAGGAATTCTGGATTGTCCTGTTGATCTTAGAACCTTGGGGTTGGAGAGAGTAACTCATGGTTGTGATTCGAACGGGCATAGATGGTACAATAAGGATTTTTGGCCTGGCACGAGAGGACATGCAAAGATGTCAAACCTCTGGACAGGTAAGACCATTTTTAAAGTAAGGGGTGTGTGAAACTTCCACAGTTTATTGTCCTGGTGAGCTTGACGGTTGGACCTCAGCTGCCATCTTGGCAGTCCTTGTTTTCCCATGGTCTTACATGTCAGGGAGGTTGTTTACCATTTGCACCTTGGCCGCAACTATTGGTTCACCTCCAGCGGTGGGCAGCGGTGCGGATTGAGCCATTGGTGGGAAAAGCAGCAGAGGCGTTGCTGCTGGTGGCTGCTGTTGAAGCGAGGCTGCTTCGCAATATATATATTATATATATATATAACCATCAAGAATTGGGATTTCACATCAAAAATGCCGATTTCACCAGAAAGAACGAGGTGAAAACACCATGAAAACGATTGAAAATTCTGCGAATGAGCACCAAAAATAGATCGGTTGCCAGATTGGTTGCTAGAACTTTGGACTACTATAGCCGCCGTTGATGGAGAATGGAGCTGATGGTCATGGTGATTGTTGCAGGGGTATGAGTAGTATGTAATGTGGTCCCTGTTTTGTTGGTGGACCATGGGCGATGTCGGGGTGCACCCTCTGGTAAACATACAAAAAACGATGGAAAATCCCAATTTTTAGGTAAATCAACCATTTCTATGGCCATTTTCAATAGCAAACTGTCAGTTTATCAGAGGGTAGTCTGAGGGTAGTTGCTTGACAAAGTGACCTGGAGATTCTGCCTCAAGCCTTGGAAGTGAAGTTGCCATGGGTTCCGGTGCCAGCCAAGAGGAGACCAAGCATACATATAAGCGGATCGTGTATACAGGTGCTGCAACGCCACGGGATGAAAATCCTTCGCAAATATCAGTTACTGTTCAAGTTCTCGGTGGTGACACTACACAGATTTCTGTGAGCCGCAATGCCTCTATTGATGAGATCAAAAAGATGGTACCAGAGGGAAGGGTTTGCTGCTTGATCTTCAAAGGTAAGGTCTTGCAGGGATCTTCCACTCTCCAAAAAGAATGCATTCAAGATGGTGATTTTCTGACAGCTGCTCTAGGAAATGTGCAAAAATTGCAAGCCATCAAGAAGACAGCTGCTTGGGCATCGGATTCCTTCGCACTGCTTCGATGCGATGGCACAGTTTCGACTTGGGGGGAGCCGACAGAAGGCGGCAATAGCTCCTCTGCTCAAGACCGCCTTCAACACATCGTGGACGTCGTTGGTTCCCAGAGTGCATTTACAGCTTTGCGGAGTGATGGCGAGATTGCAACTCAGAAGAGCTCCAGAGTTTGTTTATAGTTGGTTGATGTTGTTTGATACTTTTGCCACACATCTTGGGATGTTTGTGATGTATAATATGTGGCTTGATGTGTTCTGCAATCACGAGGTGACTTGGGGTCACAAAGACTTCGGCAGTGCCTTGGGTGGGCACAAGGATTTTCTGAAAGACGTCACAGAGATTGTCGCATCCGGGCGCGCGTTTGCAGCAATCCTCAAAGATGGGACCGTGATATCTTGGGGAGACAAAAAATATGGTGGCGACTGCAGCGCAGTGAAGGACCGGCTGAAAGATGTGAGGTCTCTGGCAGCCAGCTTCTCGGCATTTGCAGCCATCTGTGGAGGTGGTCATGTGGTATCCTGGGGCAATGAAGCATCTGGGGGATCCTGTGAGAACGTCAAGGAGAAGTCGGGTAAGGGAGGGAGATGCTGTGAAGGAATATCTTGATCCTGGTGTATCGATGATTCGTTCACAAGGGCACTTGCATAGCAACATGTCACAACTTCTATGGCTATCGGTAGCCTTATCTCAACATATCTCAACAGCTTAAGCTTCGAGTGACCAGGCCGCAACCCCGGTCACAGGATGAGCTGGTAAATGTCCGACAACTCAGTGCCACTGACGCTGCCTTTGCAGCCCTCTTGGCTGATGGGAAGGTTGTAACCTGGGGGGCCGATGGAGACGGAGGCAAGTCGGAGAATCTGGAGAAAGTTCAGGAGATGGTCGGAATGGTTCATGATACTTCCAAGACAAGCATAGAAATCACCGGTTGTGATTACTGTCTGTGTTTGGCTGGTAGGATTTATAGGGAGATGACCTAGTGAAGTCAGTGAAGTCAGAACCTCAGGGTTGCATATGCTGGATATGAAGCGACGTAGACTTTGCATCCTGCACTAAGGTAACATACGTAACAACAGCTCCATCCAACCCCCAACTGCAGGAGATCTCTGGAACCTCTAAAGCCTTCGCCGCAATCTTGACCGATGGTACAGTGCGGACTTGGGGCGATCCCTCCAAGGGTGGAGACTGCAGTTTGGTCCAGGAGAAGTTGAAACATGTCCAACGCACCTTGCTTCAGCAGTCAATTGTCAATTTTGTTTGCTCGCCTATAAGGTTAAGTTATTTTTCACTAACGCTATCTAACTATGTCATACTGTGATACTATATCTAACTTTTGTATACTTTTGTTCAACCCCTGGTCCCTGGTTCAAGAATGATTCAAATTGTTCCATTCCGGCCTTCCTTCCTGCGGTCGCGAGGTCTTTATCCTTCTGGTCGTGGTTTCGCAGCTCTACTCTCAGATGGCCACGTTGTGAGTTGCCTGATACATCCTGGTACGTCCAGGTACAATAACGGTCGCCAAGGAACCACTAAATTTTGGCTGCCCTCTGGTAATTTAACATAACTATGGAAAATCACAATTTTTAATGGGAAAATCCACTATTAAAGGCCATTTGGCTATGTTCAGATAGAATTTTGCTAGTTGACGGATCAACTGTTCAACCCTCCAACCTTTGGATACCCATTGGATCCCATTGGCATTTGTTGCTTCGAGGTTGGGGTGAAGTTTCAGATACTCGCGGTGTAGAGGATGAGCTGCTGGACATTCGTTACATCGCCTCCTCCTACGGCGCCTTTTTGGCGTTGCGTGGTGATGGGACGGTCGTCAGCTGGGGCGACCAAAACTATGGTGCCTTGGCACAGTCCAACCTGTGGATGAGGTAACCTTAGGTGGGTAAATTGTCTCCACCAGCATCTAAATTGAATTCGATTCAATGAACATCGTCGTGTTTCCACCAACTTTTTTCAAGATCCCTCTGATCTCTCAGTCAGTGCAACGGTAGGTGCCAACACGAATCGCTTGAAGGGTGAGCTGAGCAATGTGCAAATCATCTCTGGTGCCAGTGAAGGCTTCGCAGCCATCCGAGCCGATGGGAGAATCATTTGCTGGGATCGTATTGGACAAGTTGACTTGAAGGTCCATGCGTAGAACTGCCCGATGAAAGACGATTTCGTACCGATGAACTGCCAGAGATGGTGCCATGTGGTGCCCACATGGGCCCACCTTATTTTCAGATGTCTTGACATGTCTTGACACAATTCGATATGATTTGAGGATTTCACCCAAGAGAGCAACAGGAGCTCAAAGATAGCCCTGTTGTACTGCCATCTATCTTTTATATACACCTTTCACCATGCAGACCAGATTCCCTGATCAAGTCAAGTGTAGTCAAGAGAGATTTTCGTCGCTGCTGGGGGTTTGCGTGATCTATGCGATTGGGACACCCGTCAAGTGATTACCCAGTGTGAATTGTATGGCGGTGTCCCTTTTGGACAATTCAGGACTTCCCGGACGGCCGCACCCAAGACATTCTTCACAGCCCAACTGGATGTAAAACAACAAAGATAACAAAGGTTGCTCGAGAGAAGAGAGATTGATATGTAAGACATCCACTCTGACGCATTTTGGGGTACTAGGTAGCAAAAGGTGGCAAAAGTCTGAAGTACTTTGTAGATCCCAGATTGATAGGGGAAGGACTTTTTGGGCTCATCAGCTTCGCAAATGGTGGAAGGACACGAAGCGTATGAACATTCCCTTCACGACCGAGGGCCAGCCAGAATAGGAGACAGGTGCTCCCGTGGGATCCCGTGGGCAAATTGCCAAGTTCTTTATCATACCAATCATGATACCTAGGTGAAACACACACACAAAGCATACGTTTCGCAAGTTCATACGGTTAACTGCTGTTGGGTACTGTATGTTTAATCTTGTTTGGAAAACCTGTTTGGTCAGTATTTATGATATAGTATGTTTGATGTATGCATACACATGAAAAAAGAACACCTGAACTTCCAGTGCCTACTGGCCCTATGTTTTTCTTGAGGCGATTTCAACTTTTATGGTGTTTGTTTCAGAACTCTTGGATTCCTCAAACACTTATAGCTCAACTGAGATCAAAGTTGACCGGCAGTTGATGAGGCAACTGTTGCTGCTGTTGTGATGCTTGCACTCGCGGAGGATGTTTTTCGTTTAGACTTAATCATTTTTTTCAGATCAAGACGAAATTAAATCGTTCTGGACTCTTTGCATATTTACTGGAAATATGTAATATGTATACATATATATATTATATATATATATGTGTAACATATATATATATATGTATAATATTGCATGTACAATATACATATACATCTACATAAATAAGGCACAGAACTGCACATGCAGAACAGCTACCTTTGGCTACATCCAGATTTGTAACATACATGGATGTAACCAAAAGTAGCCATGCTATAGTGCACCCAGATTATATACAATATGTATATACACGTGTATATACATGCATATATGATTCCGGATCCCGGATCCCTGCTCCCCCCCCCATGGTATGGTCCCCCAAGCTCACGCTCCATGCATGCATGCATGCATGCATCCATCCATCCATCCATCCGGATGCATCCATCCATCCATCCATCCATCCATCCATCCGTCCGTCCATCCATCCATACATACATACACACACAGACATACATACATACCTCTCTACCTACCTACCTACATACCTACATACCTACGTACCTACGTACCTACGTACACACGTACATACATACATACATACATACCTACATACATACCTACCTATCTACCTACCTACCTACCTACCTACATACATACATTACATACATTACATACATTACATACATTACATACATTACATACATTACATACATTACATACATTACATACATTACATACATTACATACATTTACATACATTGCATACATTACATACATTACATACATTACATACATTACATACATACATACATTACATACATTACATACATTACATACATTACATACATTACATACATTACATACATTACATACATTACATACATTACATACATTACATACATTACATACATTAAATACATTACATACATTACATGCATTACATACATACATACATACATACATTACATACATACTACATACATTACATAATACATTACATACATACCTACATACATACATACATACATACATACATACATACAACATTACATACATTACATACATTACATACATTACATACATTACATACATTACATACATTACATACATTACATACATTACATACATTACATACATTACATACATTACATACATACATTACATACATACATACATCATTACATTACACATACATTACATACATTACATACATTACATACATTACATACATTACATACATTACATACATTACATACATTACATACATTACATACATTAACATACATTACTACATACATACATACATGCATTACATACATACATGCATACATACATACATACATACATACATACATACATACATACATACATACATACCAACATACATACATACATACATACATACATACCAACATACATACCAACATACATACCAACATACATACCAACATACATACCAACATACATACTACATACCAACATACGTACCAACACCCATACCAACATACATACCAACATACATACCAACATACCAACATACCAACATACCAGCATCCCAACATACCAACATACCAACATACCAACATACCAACATACCACCACCACAGGCCACGGGGGGGGGGACCAGAAGAACCATACCACCACCACAGACCACAGGGGGGGGGGGACCAGAAGAACCATACCACCACCACCACCAGATAACCACCATCCCAGGCCACAGGGGGGGGGGACCAGAAGAACCATACCACCATCCCAGGCCACAGGGCGGGGGGGCTTGGGAGTCCTGGGTCATATATATATACACACGTGTATATGTACTATACGTATTATACGTATATTATACATATATGTACAGTATATACTTTTACATCTACACAATATGTCCCTGACTGCGATCCTGAAGCCCGTTGCAACCCAGGTGCTGGAAGAGACTGATCCGGCCGGGGGGTCCGCCAGGTGTCAGCAGGCTCCTGCCGCCACGAGCCACATGAATCCAACCATCAACAAAGGCGATTGAGTAACCATGGATTGTTCATCAGTGGATAATCAACAACTATACCATGGAACCAGCAAAATTGAATGGAAATGAGACAATTAATCCATCCTTCCTTGTGTTGACACCATTGTCAGCGGGCTTTGCACGGCGGGCACTGCTGCCCCGGTGAGCGCAACTAGAAACGTCGTTGATTTTGAACCGAACCCGGCGCACTGAGCAAGGCACGTCACGGCGTCAAAAGATTCGATCCAACAGACGGGGAGTTGATCAGCAACTACAGAAAATTTATGAGAGGTACCGGAACTACCCATCTGAATGGTGGAAGTTTTGCGGATTTTTGCAAGACTATATAAAGTATCCTAGCCAGATGTAAGGTGTGTATGCTAAGCCAAGGGGGTTGCACATGTTCCATCATGTTCCCATTCCAGGATTCGCCGGCCAAGGTTGCTGATGCCCATTGCAGATGTCTCCTGGCAATGGATGCGCTGGTGGGGACCCAATTACAGTGAATCCTGGGCAGAATCCCATAGGAAGTTTTGAAGGTCCGGATTTCGTGTGCGAAGGTGGAATTCCTCAAGCACCACATGCTGTCAGCCGCAGGCTAGGTGGACAAGTCACGTCAACAAGACTTTGAGAGTATGCAGGAAATATGATACATCATAATAGTAACTAATATTAATATATATATTTATTATATAATACACGCATGATTCGATTGCTGCAGACTGGCTATGTTTCATGATGAGTCTTGGAAACGCCCAGCTGGAATGTTGAAGCATAGACTCATAGATGAACAGTGTTTGTATGCAGAACTTCTGTTCTTTTTGTTTTGTGATCCTTTCTGATTCAATCTCCGCTGATTGATAGAATGACTACTGCCCAGGGCGGATCTGTTCAGCGTCAGGACACGACCATTATTTTTCCAGATTGCAATGCTCAGTGAGAATCAAACTTGATCCAACCAGCACACCTGGTAACTACGCAGGGACCCTGGCTGCGCCCCGAAGCAGTTGAGGAGGCTCTCGGAAGTCCAAGGGAGGATTGATGGTAGGAAGTCGGAAGGGTGCCCAATATTGTTGCGGTAGTCTACTCGAATTGAATGACTCTACGCGAGCATGGCTTGGCCCTATCTACAAAAGGAACATATGGAAAAAAAATGATAGCTGGACATTTAGCGTGTCAGTTCCCACTTCGAAAAAGTATAGTTTAACTGCACTTTGATGTAAGAGAACCCACGGGCAGATGTGGGATTGCCAGAAGTTCAACATATATACGACCGGTCCAATTCGGACTAAATCGTGAAGAGGGCAGGGAAAGCTGAAGAAAGATGCATAATGAATCACAACCCATAGGATCCACGTACGCTATATATGGTAACATGTACCATCAATATACCCCAAATGTTAGCATTAATATACCATACATGGATCCTATGGGCAATGAATAATGAAACTACTTCAATGCGCAAACTCTCCGTTAGAAGACCCCCGGAAATGACCTGGTCAGATTGCCCATCTCCACAGATCTCCACTGTCAGGTGTGCTTCACAAGGGACGACGGGCAGGCAGCCTTTGGGAACTGGTCTGAGAGTTTAAATGGACATGGATCAAACCAGAGATGTTGCATGTGTTTACCATCTCCTGCTCGGTTTTTGGTTTACTGTATCATCATTTCCCGTATTACTTATTACTATGTGTCCTTTTAACATTGCATGTTTTGGGCAACTAGATCATACTAAATTCCCGATTTTCAGACACACCCACACAATTGAAATTCAGCTTTGGGTAAGTTTAATGATGAATAATGAGGATAATGAGGTCTTGCAAGATTGAATCCAACCAATTGAACCCGAGTCCAGTCATGTCCTGTTCGAGGATTCTCAGGAGCTGCGCACAATTTGAAGCGTCGAATTCCGTCGAATCGACAGCTGGAGTGGCCGACAGGTTCAGCGGATGATCCCTGCAGGTTGCCACCGTTGATCATGAAGGTGATCGAATGATATACGTAGTACTACAATTGATAATATATACTTATTAAATCTTATTAATATACTATACCAATCAATATACTATAAATATATATGGCTACGAGTCAAAATGTAGAGCCCCGATCCATACCCTGAACCCACAGGCCGATCCATAACCCCGATCCATACCAAAACGCAGGTGATCCAGACCGATCCATACGTCTGGATCACCGCGGGCCGATCCATACCCGAATTTTGACGCAAGCCCATATATATAATTAGTTATATTATGTTATATATATATATTAATATGATAATGATTAGTATAATATAGTATCATAATGATACATAATAATAGTGCCAATACTATATATATATATATGATACTTATGGTCATGAAAGGGATGTGGTCCGAGAATTCTGACAACGTCCTGTCAACAACTTTGAACAAGCCCCGTTCCCTGTGACGCAATTTCCAAAGATCTTTGTGTTTTCATGCGGGTGAAGTTCTTGCAGGAGGTCTGCCAGGTCTGGGTATTCCAGGGCTATAGAGACAATCCTCGTGATACAGCATTCAGTGCAAAGACGAGCTGGTAGGCAGCTGAGTCTTGGTTGCTCCAGCATTTGCACACTGCCAAGCAGTGTTTCTAATGGTCGCAGGAGAGATCCTCAGGCGACTTTGAATGGAGAAAGGTGGTTGGCAGTGGCGAATTGACACATTGGGTCAGGAGGTAGAGCTGGCTTCCCAGAATGAGCAAGACCCCATGCATCAGGAATGCCCACTTGTAGGACATGCAATTGCAGAAGGAGTCAGCCACTTGTGAAGGGTGTCACTAGGCTTCTTCGCAAATATCCGAGCCTAATGCAGTGCCAAGTCCCTAGTTTGACAAGTATGTCACGGTGTGTGCTGCTGGTCAGCTTATGTTTCTTTCACACTGTGTCGGAGTTACGTGTTGCAAGCAAATAGAATAGCTCTACAAGGGGATAGTTCCCCCCCGATTTGTGAGATCGCACGTCACTTGTACAAACCATGAAGAGGTTCACTTTGCCCATTGCCACCCAGCCACAGCAAGCGGCTGCTTTGGTCAAACCAAAGTTTGCTGCTCAACCAAGTAGGGACAAGCAAGAAGTTGATGGTCAAGTCTTCGTCCCACGTGACATATATGAATTCACTGACTGGCTTGCTCTCCACAAGGTTGAATGTGGAAGCGGGCTTCAGATGCTTTAGTTTTTTTTTGGCTGGACCATGCTGGACCTTGTTAACATGGAAGGCTACGTTGTGCAGTTTTTTTTCTAGATGAGGTTGCGCAAAACTGCTCCAGCCAGCCAAGTCGACGCAGCGCCATCATGGTGCCAAAAATCAAAAGGGCCGAACGATGCCGAGCGTGCGATGTGCGCGGCAAAGCAAACGTAAAGGCATTGAATCCATTGAGGTCCAAGGGCCTGGTGGAAATGGCATAGTGGCATAGTGGCATAGTGATGGCATAGTGATGGCATAGTGGTTGAGTGGCTGGTTGAATCATACCTTGTGTCCAGTTGGCGCTTAACAAATCATGCCTGCGTTGAAATCTGAATGGTGGGCCGCGCCATGGCTGCGTGATTAATGATGTTCAAGTGAGAATCTGATGAAGTTGGGCATCACTGGCATCACCAGCAAATTTGGATAAATTTGGTATGTATGAACATGAGCAGTGATGACCTTTAGCATTGCATCGTACATTGGTGTCATGCTCAGCGTCGAGCGCTTCCTTACAGAGAGAATTGAGGGTGCCCCGCAGCTGCTTTCGCTTCGCACTGCACTTGTGCTCCGCGTTTTCACATTCTCGACTCATTGCGTTCAAGGTTCGGAATTCGGAGGGGGAGGACAAGTTGTTTTGCCTGTCTTTATCTGTCTACCAAGGCCTTGATAATGTGTTGTTTGAGCTTTCAGGGTGATTGAGGCCGCGGTTGTTTTTTCCGTTGACTCAACGTCAAGCTGACATGGGATGCTGCCTTGCAGGATGGCTCCGAGCCGTTCGTGAGAAGCTCAGAAAAAAAAACAATGTGAAGATTGCAGAGTTCGTAGTTTGTATTTGTATAAAGCATTTTGTGTATTTCTTTGTCATTGTTGTTATCAATCCTGAAAAGAAGATGACCTATATACCATTTTTGGTGGCAGATCTAGGATAAGTTAAGTCACTGCCCCAAACTCGCACGGAAACGGAAGTTGTTTGCCTAGTTGTTTGTTTGGAATCTGCTCAAAGTTGAAAACCGGTGTTTTTTCCTGATGCCAGGAACTATGCGGTCTTGCCAGAGCCAAGCACTTGGTTGCAACGACAAATCCAAACGAATCTGTGAGATCATCCACAGCCAGTGACTGTAGCTGCGCATTTGCTTTTTTCTCCACATTCATTCATGATGGTTCGAAACTGAAAAGTAAATGTCTTGCAACAGAAAGGATTATGTCATGATATGGAGGTTTCCAAAAATGGGGGTACCCCCAAATCATCCATTTGAATAGGATGTTCCATTATAAATTACAAACCATCCAGCTATTGGGGGTCCCCCCGTTTGTGGAAACCCGATATGGTCACGGGATGTCACGGGAATGCTTTGGTTGATCTGCAGATGTACATGGATGATCAAAGATATCAAAGGAGCCGAAGCTCCCCATCGCTACTGGTAGACCGGACTAGGACTAGGATATCCTTTACAGAATATGAGCCATTGATTTGCTGGTTCATGATGGGATGATATTATCATAGATAGCATGATGGCAATAGTATGTACTATTATCATGTTGTCAGTTGGGATATGTTGGAATCACAACTCGCAACATGTTTAAATTTATGTAGCATGTTTTCTGCTCATTGGATGCTGATTGAGGTCGAATTTACGATCAAAAATACAAAAATCAGCGCAGAAATTGGGGTACTGCCAGATTTGATGGTTCATCGTAATGTTCCCTATTAAAGTACGGTAACCCTTTTGTGGCTAAATTCACCATTGACAGGCCCAATTGGAGATGATTTTGTTGCTGATCGGCAAGTTAAAAAGGCCCTCCTTTTTCCTAGTTCAATCCCCAGTGTTCACGGTAAACCCCCACGATATCCCCATTTTTTCCTAGTTGAATCATGTTGAATCATGTTGAATCAGCCATCCATATCCATCCATATCCATCCGTATCCCATGTTCATCAACCATCAGGCCCGTGCTCATGGAAGATCGTCGCTCATGGAACCGAGGGTTGGGATCTTGGAGGAAGCTGTGTCCCAAAATTCAGGGCTTATGAGTTACCCAAAATAGACAAGTACATAGTTTTACAACGTTTTACAATGTTACATATTAATATATATATATATATATCGACAACATACTATACATATTATTTATATATGTAGTACAGGGTAATGTAATGTTAATAAGATTTATGTTAATAAATACATATGGTTTATACTATACTATCATATATAATATATGTAAATAGTGCAATAGTCAAGATAACATGCAACAACTATACACATATAGGATATATAGTTGCATATGTGTATATATAAATGTATGTATATGTGTATGTGTACATATATGTATATGTATACGTATATGTATATGTGTATGTAGATGTGTATGTATATGCAAAAGTATATGTATATGTGTTGGTATATATGTACATGTGTATGTGCATGTACATGTACATGTGTATGTATATGTGTATGTGTATGTGTATGATGTGTATGTGTATGTATACGTATATGCACATAGTTATATATATATATAGTTTTACACACGTCATATATGTATATATATATATATAGTTCTGTGATGTTCTGTGTATATATATATATGTATAATGTATATGTATTTGACAATTTTGACATTTTAATCCTGCAAATGAGAATCACACATGAGTGCATCCAGGTCCAACTCGGGCCTGTGGTTGATGGGTGTCCTGAGTGGCCTTGCACTCCTGTTAACGCCAGCGGCTCAGATCCATGGAAAAAACGGGGCCGGAAGATCGGAACACGAATGGAGGTTTCTTAAAATGGGGGGAACCATAGGTTTCAATACTAAAATGGTCTAATGACTTGGATGATTTGGGGTACCCGTATTTTAGGAAACCTCCAAATGGGATTGTCCGAAAGCAGGCTATGTACCCCAATATGATCCGAAATGGCAATGCTAGGTATGTTTGAAGGGGCGTGATGATTAACCGTTTAATTTTTAGGACAAACCTACCATGAGGAATCATGATGACACCCTGTTGTTGTTTTCGTAATCCATGTGATGTTTCGGCTCAAGACTTCAGCTGGAAAAACAACTTGGGCTCATTGGAAGGATCAAACCTCACATGTTCGTAGTCATCACGAAGGCATTCCCATGAATTCCCATCCGGATGCTTACTTTAATGCATTGTTTGGGCAACTGGAAATCCAAATCACGGCTTTGGTGAGCCTATTTGATGATGTTGATGTAATTCACCAATTTCTTTGGGTGAGTCCATTGACAAAGGACACCCGTTTGGACGTGCCGAATTTCTTGGGGTGGCTCATTTCGATGCGAGCGGTGCTCACCTACTTGGATTCATAGATTTTTACCTGTCTCCACCTGTCTCCACCTGTCTCCACCTGGACCTGCCTTGATTTATACACCAACTGATTCTGCTAAACCGCTGGGCCGCTGCCAACCGCGACTTCCTCATGGTGGAACCTTCCGAAAGGTGGGAACTCGGATGTGGTAAACCCGATAAACCATGATAAACCAATATATATATATATATATGAAAATCGCATTTTTTTTGGGTTTATGGCATTGGGTTTACCACATTTGTACTCTTCAGTGATAGCTATTGTACTGCAAGTAGATCCAATAGGGTATTCAGCATTGTTGAATGTATAGTGATTCGAGTGATTGAGAAGTTTTGATTTCCGCAGCAGTGATTTGAAACCGTACCCGCCTATTTTGTTGCAATTCTGGCCACAGGCAGCGCTTGGAGCATGGCGTAGCAATGCTAGTGGGCGACTTGATTTCAACAGGGATTTGCCTTGGATCAACCAAGATTTTAGCCGTATCCATACTAGTAGAACGTGATGTAACTCACACATGATGGCGATAAAATTATACATATTCCTTACATATTCCTTACATATTCCTTACATATTCCTTACATATTCCTTACATATTCCTTACATATTTCTTACATAGTCCTTACATATTCCTTACATATCTTTATATAGATGTTTTCAAATATCCATGAAATATCTAGCATGCACTAGCAGGTCCTTCAAACTTGGGCGTAGCTGGCTTAGCACCATTTGGCAGCAAGGTGACATGGACCACTCCCTGTCCACCGATGCAGATCGCAAGGTGCTGCTGGAGCGGAAACAGCTGATTCTTGGCGTCAAAATTCATGGAATCCCATGGTGAACAGCATGCAATCGCTGGAAATTATCCACGGAATAACATGGCTTGATATAGGTTTATTGAAGTTTAATAGAGGTTTAAAATATGGTCATACCGCCAAGATATGATTTGTTACAATCATGAGTATATAGCTAGATGTTGATAAGACAGGAAAAAAGTGGTGACTGCATTTCTTTTTTTACCCCGTTTACACCCCTTGTATCCCTGTCAAATATAATTTTCCAGATGAAATACATACCCGTATATTATATATACAGATATCAATATGTATAATTATTTATAACGTGACTGATTAAAGGGGTCCCAGTTTGGGGCATAGCAACATGACCATCATTTCCTGGTCTCAAACCAGGTGTTAATGGTGGATGTTTGTGTTTGATTAGTGGCAATAGGCCATGGCTGGACGCCCCGAAGATATCCACATGAGTATTGTGCGGGACCAGAGCTGGATGTTGATGCCAGACCTTTCCTAGAGGTCACATCGAATTGACTAATGCTTTCTTACTCATGTTTTTCATCAGAAAAGCACATTTTGTTGGAAAAAAATATTGAAAAAACATGGCATGTTCAGCTCATTGGATCATTTTTTGGCTGGCACATTAGCTCGCTGGCATCATGAAGCGGCCAGACCTCAATCAAGGCTCAGCTCTCAAATGGAAGAGTTGCGAGCAACCATGCGACAAGTTCAGGTGTGAACTTGGCTTGTGGAGTTTGTTGTTTCACTTCGAAACTCAAGAAATATTAAGACATATCAAGGAAAGGAATATGTTCGAATATATTGAAAGGTAATCCATTCAAACCTGAGTCGGTGCCACGCGTTTTGGGCATCCACGTTCTCTTCCGGACGGATCCCTCCCAGCCACCAGCGTCGTGAGGAGGACAGCGAACGCAGTAGTGACGAAGCGCGGCAGTGCGAAGCGGAAGCTGCTTTGGAACTGAGTAAAGTGGCAGCTTTGCTGCTTGGCAGATTTTGGGCAGATGGCCGTGCCAACAGAATGGAATGGAATGGAATTGGATGTGGATTCTTCTGGGAGTCTTTTTGACAGTCTTGTAGGTATTTGAATCACGGAGGGTACTGGTGACTGGTGCTCCAGTAAGATCTCATTGTTCATTCACGTTCATGATCATATTCCCGATTAGAATTGCCACTAGCTGGGGTGCAGCCAGCCTCCACAAATTGTGGACAAAGCCACTTGCCGCGGCCAGACGGGACGAGGCGGGACAAGGTCCAAACGCTGCTACAACAGATTCAGCGCTCACAGCAGCAAGCACTGGAGCATCGAAGGGCAGAACGCGACTTGTAACTCGGCCCGGATGTGACTGGAATGGCTGGGGATGGTGGGGAATAACCATCAGAATCATCAGATCACAGACACACTTGGTCCCAAAAAAAGTCCCATCCGGAGATGTACAGCCACGAGATGATTCTTGAATACAGTTTGAAACAGTCCGTGACATTTTGAAGTTCAAGATTGATTTTAAGCACTCCCCAAGAGTTCTTTTGAATGTGCACCCATCTACAAGGCAATTCAACATCTTCAACTGCGCCCTTCGGTCGTGCGCCGTCCCAGGAGAGTGGAAATGGAACGTGCAAAGGGGACATTCCAGGAAGTGATCTCCGTGGAAATGGATGTGCAGACACCTGGCAGTGGTGGGCTGCGATGGGCTGCGGGCTCCAAGAATTTCTCCATCGGCGAGTCTGACTGTCCCACCTGTACTTTTTTTTTGGTGATGGTTTGTCATGATGATAAGAGATTTAATTTAGTTTAAATAACAGATCCATACAATCCCAAGTTTTAGCATAGTAGAGCATCGTAGAGCATCATGATTCCATCAGTTGTTTTTCTGTCTCAGGATGGCCATCCGCAACGAGATTGGCCAGCTCCAGCAGGTTGTCCAGGACCCTCTCACAGTGAAATGATGATTAAGGAGGTAAGGGACAGTAAGCGGGCTATAGCGGGTTAAGTAATCATGGCGTTCTCTAATTTCTAGTTAGAATTTGGACACAAATTGGTACAAGAGGCTTTAATATGTTTTAATGATATCGGAATTCACGCCACAGTGATGAGGTTGCATGTTTGCTTTCTCCAACAAATTTGAGATTCATCTTAAGAGGCGGAATTGTTTTCAAAGTTGGGGTTGGGGCAACAATTCGAATCTCATGAAACCACATGATGATTCTTGAGGATCAATTTTGCCAATCAACCTTTGTTGCCTAAATCTCCAGTGTCTCTTAGTGAATCTCCTCTTTCTTGGTGGTGCTATGGCCACCATACGATCGAATCAAACCATGGACAATTGCTTCGTGAAATGCTTCGTTTCGGAATCACGCATGGCTATGGCTTTTTGATGTTTTTTCCATGTCCGTTTTGATGGAGGATACCCCAGTCGTCACCATGATTATCGGATATTATCGGGGATTAGGACCTGGCCAATCGGATCGAGACCAAGATGAGTGAGATTGATCGGCTGGAGCAACCTGGATGGGCTAAGCCACCAAGCAGGTGGTGTTTCCCTATGAAATATGGACCGTGAACATGGATGAACATGGATGAACTTGGATTGAAATGCCGGATTTGAATGAATTTGGACGGATTTGGGATGGATTTAGGAGTCACCGGCCATTTTAAAGGGGCATTTTAAAGTTGCCATTTGAGGAGGCACAACCGCAACAGCTGTGGTTTCACTGACAGGCAAGCCAACAGCTGGGCAAGAGCAGAGGCCACACTTTGGCAAGGGAAGGAGATGGATGGATGATGGATGGATGATGGATGGATGATGGATGGATGATGGATGGATGATGGATGGATGATGGATGGATGATGGATGGATGATGGATGGATGGGAGTCCACCAGCAAGTGAACATCCAGCATTTTGGAGGACTTTACCTTTTGGAAAATGTGTCCAAGCTTCTTCCCCCAACGTCTTACTAATATCATGCGGCCTCCCCATGGCTGTTGAAGACCGCTTGCAGCACCATGGATTCAGTTCCCCTTTTGGTCAACTTGTGTAATTATATGGGAATCAACATCCCAAGTCGTTCAAAATCCAAACACAGCGGACGTTGCCTGAGCCTCGACTGAAAAAAGGCTATACCGTTATACCATGTTATACCCCCAACAAACCCATTAGCATTGCCTGTATTTTCTTCCTTGTTCCATCTTTTTCCCTCGTTTTCCCTATATACATTTTCCCCTACCCATAAAGCTATGGCCATTACGGCCATCACGGACAGGGACAACTCCAGCAGGTGAGTGGCTCAGTGACCCGCTGGCGCCAGCGCTGCTTGTGGCGACAAGAACAGCTGCGGCGCGGATTGGAAGGAAAGGATGCGGAGCCCCGCAGGCTGATCGCACGGGATGTCTGGGATGGTTCAATTAGGTGAAGCTTATCCTATTAATCAATGATCAAAGATAATAATCAATGATAGTCCTATTATAGCTTCAATTAGGTTCATAATATGTGTTATAGTTGTAGAATTAATGATCAAAGATCATATTGCGACATATGGCATATATTTTACAACTAATTATAACATAGATATTTGATGAGTTGTTCATATTATATCATATTAGATCATAATATTATGTCATATTATCTTCCATGAGTTCGAAACATATTTATATCCCATGATTTCTACAAAACAATTTCCAAAATTTTGAGCATTTCGACCCATGCCCAAAGGGCTGATGGTATCTGTTGCACAAGGAAGATGAGGTTCCCCATGAACAAACTCATGCGGATTGATTTCATGGGTTATTCTGGAGTAAACCCATCAAGACTTTGATATCAACAAAACACACTTTTGAAGCGACATATAAATTTCAATGGATACCCCTATGGATCAGATTTACTGACATCTAAAAATCTATGATGAATGAATGAATGAATGAATGAATGAATGAATGCATATTTTGGATGACCAGTTTCGATTGTCCCTTGATAGCCTTGATGGGGTGTGGCTCTCAGTGGCTTTATCTCAGGTCATTGATCAGAGAGTCAACACACTTTTCCTTCAAGTATAACAGTTGGTGTTTGGGACCTGGTTTGCGTTCGAGGCCCCGAAACTTATTTGTTTTTGTCATTTTTGAGTACTATCCTTCCGGTGTTGGGGCTCTCCAACTGGGACCCATAGCGACAAACGGGTATACGGTATAAGATGGCTGTGGGACAAAAAAAGTGTGAGGAGAGACAAACTTACAGGTTCTTTGCCATTTTTGAGCATAGTGTCAACTTGACAACTCATGACAACACCAGATGAAGCAAGAACCCGTGTTGATTAAGTAGGGGGTACTTCTCCAAATAGTGATAATATATGAAAATATGCTACTTAAAAAGTATCCCAATTTGGACCATTGGATAATGATCCTGGTCTCAAGGCAAAGTCCTGCAGATGATGAAGCAGAAGCCTTGAGGCACGGCCCTTGGGTTTCATGGCGCTATCATGGGAGCGCCACAGCCGTGGTGAAGGGGGTTTGGGTGAAAGATGTTGAATCTTTAAAACTAGCATGTTTATATATGTGACTATCCATATTAATTTGGTACAGCATCCCAAAAATGCATAAACATGCATCGTGCTGTAGTTTATCATTTTTTTTATCATTATAATATACGGTAACGACATTTAAATATGTGGAGGGCAGGCCAAACCGCGAGGCCCCGGAGGTAGTATGAAATACCAGTTCGTATATTTAAATGTAGTTACGGTATGTTTAAATGAATTGGATTCCGTATGTTTAAATGGCTGGGCGGGCCAAGGAAAACCTTCCCGGAGGTAGTCTAAAATACTTGTTCGTATATTTAAAAATCCGTATATTTAAATGTAGTTACCGTGTATATATATATATGTCAGTTTTAGTGGAGACGAATTGACTATCATGTTGAGTGTACATAGCTGGAGTTTCTTTGTTATGCAATTCTCATGACCTGCAGGTTGATGGGCTTCTGTTTGGGCGCCCTGAAGTTGGAAAGCGACGGCTCCCCGGGGAAAAGCCCACGGGGAAACGGTGCAGCGCAGATGCAAAAGGATGTTGTGCGCTGTTTTGGAGCAATAACTGGAGCAAAGAACTGGTTGATGGGTTCAAACATGGATGAACACAGTATATTTTGAGGTTCCATCCCTACACGCAGAGAATCTGAATTGAATCCCAGTGGCCCAGTAATCAGTGACTCATATTTTTCAGACGGTTGAAACCATTAACTCACTTTGTTTGTGGCGTGTGATGGATGGCATGTCATCTTTAAAGCATGGGCTTGAAGTGTCAAGGACTGCGCTTCTGGTCAAGGCATGCGGCTCAGGTTGTCTTGAGACTGTTGAGGCAGTTGCTTTGCTGTCCTTACCCTCCAGTGAATTAACATGGCTATGGAAAAGCCACCGTTTCTGGATCTTTTCCTAGGGCAACCCATGGATTTCGCGGATTTCCATAGCTTTTTGGTGCTGTTTGTGTCTTCACTGGAGGGCATCTGAACGCAAGTTGTCCAGAGTTTGTGGATTGAGATGAGAGTTGCCACAAGTGAGTCCTTTGGACACCTAGACCTACGTCTTGAATCCTCACCCGGCCTGGTTGCTCAGTTTCCAGATGGCCCCAGTGGGCATCCCATGACAAGATCCCTTCGATCTTTGTCGGAGATGTCCCAAAACCATCCAACACCCAAGTTTTTTTTTTTGGTGTAGCATGGTGTAGCTGAGTTGGGAAGTTGGGAAGTTCCCCTTATGCAGTCTGACTGGCGCTGACTGTTATATGATTGCCCTTGGGAATGATGGGATGAAGCCGCAGTCTTCGAAAGCCAGGGTGCTTCATGATTGTGTAGATATCTGTGTTATACTATCCAATATATTGGGATATTATTGGGATATATTGGGCATGATCATCAGAATGCCATCACCAGGATTTTTCATGGAATCACAACTCTTGGGTGTTGGACATCCCAAGAAGTTACTGTATCAAGTTGATTTACCAAGCCATATCCGTATGGAATATCCCCATTTTATCCTCTTGGGATGCCACCAAGTAATACAGCGGACTTCCACGCTGTGGGCTTCAGGTGGCTCACAGTCACCTGGGCGATGGGAAGGTCAACAAGTTTGATGCCACCTGGCTGCGACACAGATGGGACGTCAGGTGGGAGAGGTTCAGTGGATTTCTGTAAGTCTAAGTCTCACCTCTGGATTTCAAGAAATAGCTGGAATTGAAGCGTCTTATATATCTTATATGGCCAAACTCCAGCTGTGCTGTTTTCATGCACTGGTAACAATGTAGCACCTGAAGCCTGTGAAATTCAGGTGTATCGGCTTCGTTCAGTTGTGTTTTGGATGTGTCGATGACAGACTTTGCACAACGGTTTTTCACTTTATCGTCCATTGTGGATGGAATCGCTGAGATCAGCCAAATCCAGCAGATTCGTCCCTCGGTTTGCATTTGGGGGGCAGCAGCCTGTGCCAAGATGACTCTTGAAAGCAATGCCTGACCTTGGCCATGGATTGCTGAAATAGCTGTCAATAGCACATCTTTTCCATGTTGATTGTGAACAACAAGAAACTCTATACACATCATACATACTGTCTGTATATATATATATGAATATATGAGTATCTGACAAAAATATTAGCATTTGAAAGTAGTAGAGAGCTGCCTTGAACTTTGGTTGCCTTAATGAAACCTTCACAATTGATAGGGGACGACCCAGCACCAATATCCCTAGATTTCAACACGTTCCCACAATAATCTGGAGTAGGCTGCTATTTATTCAAGCAACGACTGCAAACTGGGCTGTAAACAGCTACCTCAGTTAGCTTTCTCTTGGAGAGCACCAAGCATATTATTTGCGGCAATTCACGCTCCATTCTGACCGATATCCCAACCGATACCAACCAATACCCATTTTTGCAATTATTCTCACTTGCTGAGACCATGCCCCACATACTACTCCTACCTTTCTTCTTCTTCTTCTACTTCTACTTCTACTTCTTCTTCTACTTCTACTACTACTACTACTACTTCTTCTTCTTCTTCTATTTCTACTTCTTCTTCTACTTCTACTTCTACTTCACTACTTCTACTTCTACTTCACTACTGCTACTACTACTACTACTACTACTACTACTAGTACCACACAAGGCGGTGGCGGAAGTTTCAAAAATAGGAAACCTATAGGAGAGATTGGTTGTTGTGAATCAGGGATCGCAGAGCGAAGCCACTGATGGACCGAAAGGTGCTGGAGGTCTCCTGACGTTCTCTCTCTTTCTGTCTCTTTCTCTGACTATCTACCCTGTCTATCTGTGGTGCAGTGTCATTCAGTGTAATGTAGTGTAGTGTAATGTAGTGTGGTGTAGTGGAGTGTAGTGGAATGTAGTGTAGTGTAGTATAATGTAGTGTAGTGTAATTTAGTGTAGTGGAGTGTAGTGGAGTGCAGTTGTGTAGTTGGAGTTGTAGTTGTAGTTGTAGTGAAGTGGAGTGTAATGTAGTGTAGTGTAGTGTAATGTAGTGTAGTGTAATGTAGTGAAGTGTAGTGGAAGCTAGTGTAGTGTAGTGTGATGTAGTGTAGTGGAGTGTAGTGTAATGTAGTGTGGTGTAGTGTAATTTAGTGAAGTGTAGTGGAAAGTAGTGTAGTGTAATGTAGTGTAGTGGAGTGTAGTGGAGTGTAGTGAAGTGTAGTTGTGTAGTTGCAGTTGTAGTGTAGTGGAGTGTAGTGTAGTGTAACGTAGTGAAGTGTAGCGGAAGGTAGTGTAGTGGAGTGTAGTGTAGTGGAATGTAGTGTAATGTAATGTAGTGTAGCGTAGTTTAGTGTAGTGTAATTTAGTGTAGTGGAGTGTAGTGTAGTGTAATGTAGTGCAGTGTAATTTAATGTAGTGGAGTGTAGTGGAGTGTAGTTGTGTAGTTGTGTAGTGGTGTAGTTGTAGTTGTACTGTTGTGGAGTTCAGTGTAGTGTAATTTAGTGTAGTGGAGTGTAGTGTAGTGTAATGTTGTGTAGTGTAGTGTAATTTAGTGTAGTGGAGTGTAGTGGAGTGTAGTTGTGTAGTTGTAGTTGTAGTGTTGTGGAGTGTAGTGTGGTGTAATGTAGTGTAGTGGAGTGTAGTGTGGTGTAATGTAGTGTAGTCTAGTGAAGCGAAGCGAAGCGACATCTGAACCTCCAAAAGTGGTCCGAACCCCTATTGTTTTTTAACATGTTGACTTCGAAATGTGCTTCGCGGCCACAACGGCGTGCACTTTTTCGACATCTGAACCTCCAAAAATGGTCCGTACATGGTGTGTTTTGTACATTTTCACTTCGAAATGTGCTTCGCGCCACAACAGCGTGCACTTTTTCAACATCTCAACTTCCAAAAGTGGTCCGAACCCCTCAGTTTTTAACACATTTTACTTCCAAATGTGCTTCGCGCCACAACGCCGTGCACTTTTTCAACATCTGAACTTCCAAAAGTGGTCCGACGCTGCGGTGTTTTGTACCTTTTCACTTCGAAATCGGCTTCGCGCCACAACGGCGTGCAACTTTTCATCTCTCATCTCCCCAGATGTCTCCGCACCCGCCGCTTTAGCGAGCCTACTTTTCAACCCTCCGGAGCCACAAAACCACGAAAAAACACAGTGTTTCGCGACTTTCCTACCTTTTCGCGCACCTGCATCTTCTTTCTTCTGATCTTTTCTCTTCTGACTCTTCTCCCTGCTGGCTGCTTTTTCATCTCTCCATATTGTCGGAAGTTTGACTTCTAAACTTCCTTCGAATACTACTACTACTACTACTACTACTACCACTACTACCACTACTACCACTGCTACCACTGCTACCACTGCTACCACTGCTACCACTGCTACCACTGCTACTGCTACTGCTACTGCTACTGCTACTACTACTACTACTACTACTACCACTAACACTAACACTAACACTAACACTAACACTATCACTAACACTAACACTAACACTAACACTTACTACTACTACTTACTACTACTACTACTACTACCACCACCACTACTACTACTACTACAACAACTACAACTACAACTACAACTACAGCTACTACTACTACTACTACTACTGCTACTGCTACTGCTACTGCTACTGCTACTGCTACTGCTACTCCCACTACTACTACTACTGCCACTACTACTTCTATTTTTTTTCTGCTTCTACTGTTACTTCATGTTACTCATACTTCTACTTGTAATAGTACAACGAGCAGCATTTTCTACTGGATGTTATCAAAGAGCGAAAATCTTCACAACCGATAGGGGACGACCCAATTTTGCCCCTGGCAATTACGGGGAACAAACAATTTTGTCCGCCACTCATATATATACATATATATATATATTATTCATATACTTTTAGTACGATTATACGTTTATATCAGTTGCCAATCTATTGGTCCAATTGGTCACGGAAATTGCTGTTACCTCGGAAATTGGAGACGAGGTCCGAGTCCGGAAAATGATTGCTATGGAGATCCCAGCTACTGGTGCGCCTGGTGACAAAAGGGGCTGGGGACTTCAGGTGGACGGATGGTTTTTTCATAGGTCCCCATTTGTTTATCCACTGGTAAAGCATGGTGAAGCACTATTCATAACCCATTTTTTGAGTTCCCAAGTTTGACCCATAGCCACATTTTGAGGGAAATCCAAGTGTGTGGATGGTGATGGTGGCAGGGATTGTAAAATTGTTCCCGTGACATGCAGAAAAAGGGTTTGAGGCATTTGGGACTCTACATGATTCAACAACAATTCAAAGTTATCATCCGAATTTCTTGTGATTGGTCCATTGGTGGTTGCAAGGTGATGACATACCCAAATTTACCAACAATTATTTATATATTCGTGAAGTGACATGATGTGTATTGGTATGTAAAGTGAAAAAAAAACATGAAACCCAGTTTTTGTGGCGGATCTATCCATATTGAGATCCCATTTAGGTCAGTCAGTTTTTTTTTGGAGAAATGTTATTGAAATCACCAGTGGTGCAGGCACGAAGAGAACTTCAAATATTGCTGTGAGACTGCTGGTACCGGTCCAGGCGTGCGGGAGGATTCTTGTATGGACCCTGTCTAGGGGTCTATCCAAGCTTGAACCATGTGTTCATGAATCATTTATTGGTTTCCAACTGCATCCATAGAGTCCCATGGCAGCAAATTTGAGGTTGGTGTCAAAATCCGCCTTGCACAGGGCAGCAAGTGCAACCTACTGTGCTACAGAGAGACCTTCAGCAACTCTGCAATCAAAGTTTCGTCTTGACCTCTGGAGAACCTTATTGTCATCTTCTTTGTCGGACATGTGCTAAGGATGTAAAAGTGACTTCCCTTCCTCCCACCCGGTCTGATAAACTTCACCCCACATATGATTCCAAACTTGTGGCTGATCCCGTACTTACAGTGGGAATCACCAGAATTGCAAATCCATCACAATCCCGAAATCCGCAGCATATTCTCTGACAGTTTAAGCCATTCTAACTTCGGCTGTGGCTCCTTTGTTGTCATGGTTGCTTTTGTCCATTTGTTGGCCGTGGCGGGACCAGTGTTCATCATTGCCAGCCTCGCCATGCCAGCGGGAATTGGAGGCACCTAGGATGAAATCTCGTGAAATGTCGTGATACTGCTATGTCTTGTAACAGGAGTACATGTTTTATTGTTTCTGATTATTGTTTTATAGTGTTCAAGATCATGTTTTGGTGACTGGAATATACTGGAATAAATGAAATACTGTGATGGTTGCGAAATCCGGCAGCAGATTCATAGGTGGTTTATATCTCTCATTATTTATAGGGGTTTCAAGATTGTCAACCATCCAGGCTGCAGGATTTCGCATCCACAGTATGAAAAGTATGATCCGATCCCTGCCAGAGGTGGAATGCTCTATGTGCCACTGTTGATTGTGACCCATGTGGCAGACCCCCGCTTGGCGGCGGTTCTGGCACAACCAATTATCGTTGGTGCAGCAATGGCAGGAGCCTTTTTTGAGCCATGAAAAATACGTACATTCTGTTGATTGGTTCATTAAGGGTGTTATTTTAAGTATTGATAGAGGAATTATCATAAATAGGTCAGTTTGCTATCAGTGATTGCGAATGGGTATCACATGGTATCACTATGGTGGTCAGACTCACTGGGTCATTGCGGTGTCATGAATTATTGTGAACGCTACTAGGGATACTGTACCCATTTACCAGCGAGTACAATGGGATGTGATAGGTCTTTGTTTTGTCATGGCTGACGAAGTGATCTAGTGACAGTATGGTAGGACAGTTATAGATTATCCATGGTCTCAATGCGTCCCAGCACCAGGAAACTTCTTCAATATTGCATGGCAGCTGCGGCACAAGGAGCAAAAGTTGTTGGATGGGCATCTAGCCTTAGCAATGATCGCACCATGCCTTGCAGGGAACCTGGTAGGTTCAGTCATGAATCAATTGCTGCCGTCCACCATCATCATGATTCTGCTTTTGATCTTGGCTGTTTCTTGGCATGGTTTATGATATATAGGACCTTACCTTTTCTAGTGCTTCGATTTCTGAATCTACGTGTGTGGAACTTGTTCCGTATCCACTCTTGTACAGGTCTGTCTCAAGAACTGGGGTGTGCCATATTTTAAGACAAACCATGACCATCCATGATCCATATGCTGAAAGTCAGGCTACTACTTTTCAGGCTTCTGCAGGAAGAGCCTTGAAGATGTGGAGAGCAGAGAATGCTTTGCGCAGTGTCCAGCGTCCCAACGAAAACCGGGGCTGTGGAGCCAGCATCGTCGGACGAGAAGCAGAACTACTATCACAGAACCAACCCTAAATAGGGCCTATATTTCGATTCCAAAAATGGCCCCATCACGGCAAAGACAATGTAGCCAATCGGAAATAGTGAAGGATATTCTCGAAGAGCATGCAAAGGTCGGTGGAGCCTTCACAGGATGGCTGCAGGCGAAATGTTTCATTCCAGCTCCTCAGTACAATGATAACATCTGGGCCAGTCCAAGTCCCCTGCAACCCCTGCAGTCAGCGTTAAAGTGACAAAAGCAAGGTGGGCCAGAGAACCCAAAAGCATGACGGCACACAGCACGCCTTTTAATCTTGTGGTGTGGGCAGCTGTGCTCTGCACGAAATCGACGTAAGATCTGTACTGAAGCATCGTGCGCACTGACGGTATCAGGGGCCACAATTCACCACAGCATGCTGTGTCAGCTACGTCTACATTCTTCTAGTCGCTTTTTCTGCTAATGTAATTAATTCCGTCCCATCTTATCTATTTCTGCGTTCTCATTTCGTTTGCTAGAGACCCCTAGAAAAATGTGACCACACCCAATCCCCTGCGACCCCTGCGGTCAATGTTGAAATTTGTCAATGTTTGAATACCGATCGAACAGACATCAATAGACATGAAAGGCTTTCATTCTGGGAGTCTCCTCGATAGACATCAAACATTTATTCTGAAAAGTCCGCGGCATGTCAACATTGACTGCAGGGGTTCAAGGGGATCCCCTGCGGCTTTTCTTTCAACTAAGCAGCTGCACCTGCCAACAAACAGTACTGGGCCTTTCACAAACGCGCGTCGTACTACGCAATCATGAAGAGACATGCAAACTCAGATGTATAAACTGGTTCGCTCAGGCGCACGCCAAAAGCTGCATCGCAACCCTGGCGTCCATTCGGCAGGTGAGTTGTTACACGCTCCTTAGATGTATTGGACTTCCATGACCACCGTTCTGCTGTCAAAATGAAGAAAAACCTGTTGTGGCATCTGGAACATTTAAGCACCTTAGCCCAACGTTAAATTCATCCCTCATCGCCAGTTCTGCTTGCCAAAAACGGCCCACTTCTTCCACAAAAATTTGAGGCTCACGCCAAAAGCTGCATCGCAACCCTGGCGTCCATTCGGCAGGTGAGTTGTTACACACTCCTTAGATGTTTTGGACTTCCATGACCACCGTTCTGCTGTCAAAATGAACCAAAACCTTTTGTGGTATCTTGAACGTTTAAGCACCTTAGCCCAACGTTAAATTCATCCCTCATCGCCAGTTCTGCTTGCCAAAAACGGCCCACTTCTTCCACAAAAATTTGAGGCTCACGCCAAAAGCTGCATCGCAACCCTTGCGTCCATTCGGCAGGTGAGTTGTTACACACTCCTTAGATGTTTTGGACTTCCATGACCACCGTTCTGCTGTCAAAATGAACCAAAACCTTTTGTGGTATCTTGAACGTTTAAGCACCTTAGCCCAACGTTAAATTCATCCCTCATCGCCAGTTCTGCTTGCCAGAAACAACAAGAACGGATCAGGCTAGACATTATCGCAGCTGCAGCAACAGGAACTTGTTTTGGTAGAAGAAACAACTCTATACGCACTACGTTGCTACGCAAGGGCCTGCCTCATACCACAACCTCATACCAGGACCCCGAAGCGAATGTTACAACCTGTCGCCGGGGGAAAAAAAAAAGGTCCAGCTTTCAACTGCTGCACTCATCTGGGGGCCTGCCACCGCAAAAATGCACATTTTCACCTGGGAGTCTGCCACCGCAAAAAAAAAGGTTAAGAAGGTTCAGCTTTCAACTGACGCACTCATCTGGGAACCTGCCACCGCAAAAAACCACAGAAGGTGTAGCTTGCAAGTGTCGCATTTTCATCTGGGAGCCTGCCACCGCAAAAACGTCAAGAATATCCAGCTTGCAGCTGTCACATTTTCACCTGGGAGCCTGCCACCGCAAAAAAAAGGTAAAGAAGGTTTTGTTTTCAACTGCCACACTCATCTAGGGGCCTGCCACCGCAAAACCGTCAAGAATAGGCAGCTTGCAGCTGTCAATTTTCACCTGGGAGCCTGCCACCGAAAAAAAAAAGAGCAAAGAAGGTTCAGCTTTCAACCGCCACACTTATCTGGGAGCCTGCCACCGCAAAAACGTCAAGAATATCCAGCTTGCAGCTGTCACATTTTCACCTGGGAGCCTGCCACCGCAAAAAAAAGGTAAAGAAGGTTTTGTTTTCAACTGCCACACTCATCTAGGGGCCTGCCACCGCAAAACCGTCAAGAATAGGCAGCTTGCAGCTGTCACATTTTCACCTGGGAGCCTGCCACCGAAAAAAAAGTAAAGAAGGTTTAGTTTTCAACTGCCACACTCATCTGGGAGCCTGCCACCGCAAAAACGTCAAGAATAGGCAGCTTGCAGCTGTCACATTTTCACCTGGGAGCCTGCCACCGCCAAAAAAAAGAGCAAAGAAGTTTCAGCTTTCAACCGCCACACTTATCTGGGAGCCTGCCACCGCAAAAACGTCAAGAATATCCAGCTTGCAGCTGTCACATTTTCACCTGGGAGCCTGCCACCGCAAAAAAAGGTAAAGAAGGTTTAGTTTTTAACTGCCACGCTCATCTGGGAGCCTGCCACCGCAAAAACGTCAAGCATATCCAGCTTGCAGCTGGCACATTTTCGCTTGGGAGCCTGCCACCGCAAAAGAAAGGTCAAGAAGGTTCAGCTGGGAGCCTGCCACCGCAAAAAAATCAAGAATATCCAGCTTGCAGCTGTCACATTTTCACTTGGGAGCCTGCCACCGCAAAAAAAAAAGGTCAAAAAATTTCAGTTTGCAACTGTCACGCTCATCTGGGCGCCTGCCACCCGAAAAAGGGAACAAATGTGCAGCTTGCAAGTGTCGCATTCTCATCTGGGAGCCTGCCACCGCCTAAACGTCAAGAATATCCAGTTTGCAGCTGTCACATTTTCGCCTGGGGGCCTGCCACCGCAAAAAAAAAAAGTAAAGAAGGTTAGCTTTCAACTTTCAACTACCACAGTCATCTGGGAGTCTGCCACCACAAAAAATGAACAAATGTGCAGCTTGCAAGTGTATCATCTGGGGGCCTGCCATCAAAAAAATGTCAAATCCAGATTGCAAAACAGAAGGTGGGATAGATTAGAACTTTTTTTCACACAAAGGAAGATTGATATGATTTTTAAAAAAAAACCTTATTCTATCCCACCTCGACAAAAGTTCATCTACCAGATTTCAGGAAACTGGGAATTTTTTGTTGGTTTACTTCCAGGTGAGAATGCGACAGCTGAAAGTTGATTTTTCCTGTTATTTTTTTTCCGGTGGCAGGCTCCCAGGTGAAAATGTGACAGCTGCAAACTCGA